GGGAAACGCGCTGGAGAGGGGACCCAGAGCTTGGGGGTGAGGGGCAAGTCCTGTTTTTTAAGGTATCGCTGAGGCTCTGTCCCCTACAGGGGGCACCCCAAACTCCTGGTGTCTGGGCTACCTGTCCTGCTCCCCACCCAGATTCCCCAGCTCCTCTCTCTCCCCAGCTGGTCAGAAACCGCTCAGGTGGATCCTGACCAGCCAGGTGTGTCTTGTGATGCAAATGACGTATTCCTTGCATTTGTGGAGGAAAGGGGCCACTTGCTAACCTAGTGGTCGGCAAACTCATTAGTCAACAGAGCCAAATATCAACAGTACAACAATTGAAATTTCTTTTGAGAGGGAGCTGAAAACGGACTTCTGTGCATGGGCCACTGTATGTGCGCACCCGCACGTGGTTTTTTGTGGGAGAGCCACACTCAAGGGGCCAAAGAGCCTTATGTGGCTCGATAGCTGCAGTTTGCCGACCACTGTGCTAACCTGACAAACTCAGGGGAGGCCTGCATGGCGGCCTTGCAAACTCAGAGCCTTAAAGTAACCACAAAGGATGGTCTGAAATTAAACTTAAAAAAAATAAAATAAAATAAAAAAAAAAAAAAAATATATATATATATATATATATATATATATATATATATATTATTGACTTTTTACAGAGAGGAAGGGAGAGAGATAGAGAGTCAGAAACATCCATGAGAGAGAAACATCGATCTGCTGCCTCTTGCACACCCTCTACTGGGGATGCGCCCACAACCAAGGTACCTGCCCTTGACCGGAATCGAACCTGGACCTTTCAGTCTGCAGACCTACGCTCTACCACTGAGCCAAACCGGTTTCAGCTGAAATTAAACTTTAACTAAAAGCAGTTATGGCTGAAACCAGTTTCTAGTTCTCTATCCCTCTCTCTTCCTCTCTGTAGAAAATCAATAAAATATATTATTTTTAAAAAGCAGTTATGGTGGGTTACATCCTAGGCTGGTATCTTCACTGACAAGGTCAATCTTTTCCTTAACTGTCTTTTTGCATCTATAATAACATACTCTTTGAAATGTCTGGTAACTTGTAACTTCCCTTTTTCTGGACCCCTTGGGTTGGGCACCAGGACAGAGACCACAAATTCCTTCATTATCATGTTAATTGTTCCGGTACCACCTAAGTATGTGTTCATCATTTACTTTTTATGCAATCCCAGGGGTTCCCTGCTTTGCTTTCTCCTGTCTCTCTAGTCTGTCACCAAAGGATTTCATGTAACCCACCTATGTCTCTTCCTTTGACTGAGATGTATAAATACAGATGTAACCTGCCAACCTCTGGAGCATTATCTCAGTTCATTGAGGTTCTGCTTCCCCGGCATATGTCAACAGTTAGGCTAAAATAAACTCACAAAAATTCTTTACAGGTTTCAATGGTTTTTACGATAACACACTCTTCACAACTCTTGTGAAGTAGGTGCAATTATCCCCATTTACCAGATGAGGCAGTGGAGCCACAGAAATGGAACTGTTGTAAGCCATGCATCCAGGAAGGGGAGAAGCTGAGATTCCAGTCCCTGTGGCAGGCTCCAAAGCTCTCCCCCTGGCCCAGGTCACCTGTGAAGCCCAGGGGGCTGAGGCCTCACAGCATCGTGACCCACCCCAGGCCCCCAGAGTGGTCAGGAATGGCTCCCCCCCACCTTTGTATGAGGTGCTAAAGACCAGGTTCCAGAACACTGGGGTGCCCAGAGGCTGGGGATCCAGGGCTGCTTCTTTTCTCCTCTCCCCGCCCCCCCCCCCCATCTTCTCATGTGTCAGTGCCCCCCTCAGTCTGTTGTCTCTCATTGGGGGACGTCTTCCCCCAGCCTCACTTCTCTCTGCGGCTAAAGGAGGGTTTTCCTGCACCCACATCCCACTCCTGACAGGAGCGTCTCTCACCAGCAGGCCAGTCCTTCGGGATCTGGTTTGTCCAACTGTACTCATTTTTTATCAACCTCAGTGACATTTGAACACGTTCTCTTTACAAAACACTCCCACATTTCCAGTGAATTGGGGCCTCTGTCCCAGCCGCTCCCCTCCCTCCTGAAGTCACCCCTGGCCAGACCTTTCCCTGCCCACAACCACACGTGCAGTGAAGGTGGACCCCAGGACGGGACAGTGTGGGATGTTTCCAGACGCCATCCTTCGGCCTGCTTTCCCCGTGTGACAATGGTTCCACGAGGAAGAGACTTCTGTGCTGTGCCCACAGTGCTGCACTTCCTGCAGAGCCACACTCATTCCCGCTCGGGGCCACCAAGGAGCTCAGCGTGGGCGGTGCTGTCAGGTGCCCAGTCCAGCTGTCGTCACCGCTCTTGGGTGTGTCTCCTCCTGCGCCCATGTTCGTCGCCATGGTTGTGCCTTGTGGGCCCTGGATAGTCACTACCAAGTTGCCTTTCACAGAGGTGGACCCACTGCGTCCCTCCCCCAGGCAGGGTGGGGCCCTTCTCTCGCTGGGCCTTTGGGCCCTCTGATGATGAGAGGGGTTCCGCCTGCTGGGTTTAAGTCCTTCCCCCAGGCTCTAGTCTTGTCGTGCTGAGTGGACACTTCTCTTTCTTCTACTGAGCACCTGTCTCTTACCTCTTCCTCCATCAGCATTTCCATTCCTTGGGGTTATGGAGGAATTGTTGATTTTTGAAAAATAGATATTTTTTGATTGATTTCAGAGAGGAAGGGAGAGATAGAAACATCAATGATGTTAGAGAATCATTGATCAGCTGCCTCCTGCACCCCCCAAACCCCCCACCCCCCAACTGGGGATGGAGCCTGCAACCCGGGCATGTGCCCTGACTGGGAATCGAACTGTGATATCCTGGTTCATAGGTTGATTCTCAACCATTGAGCCACACCAGTCGGGCTTATTGATTTTTTGATTTCTGTTAGCACACTTGTTGACTCTGGAAATCAGATTCTCCCTTCTTAGGGTTTCTTATTATTGCTGTTTGTTGTAGTTGTTATTTGTTTAGTAACTTTTCTGAGCTCATTCTTTAGTCTGTATTCCTTATTACCTGTGGTCACTGAAGTCTCCGTTTAGAGGTCAGGTAATGTTTGGTTAGAGATTTCCTTGATCACTGTGCCCGGAACCTGTAAGTCTCTGAGTCTTTGCCAAGGGGCTCTGTTTGCTGTTGGGGCACACCTTTAACATTCAGTCAGGTCATTACAACTCTGCCTTCCCCTCCACTTTCTGCCTGTGCAGTGTCTCCCAATTAGCCAGGGGTGAGAAGGCTCAAGGCCTTTGCAGGTATTTCATATGCTCAGCTCAATATGAGCGGCCTTTTAGATTCCCCCAAATGTGTAGGAACTTTTAAAGTCTGTAAAGGCATCTTATTCCCTAGCTTTTCCTTTTAGGTTTCTGTTAGTGTATTGTTTACCCCAACTATTATCTACTACCTCAAGCAGCCACAATTGTTTTCAACAAATGTCCTCTAGGGCAGTGGTTGGCAAACTCAGTCAACAGAGCCAAATATCAATAGTACAACGATTGAAATTTCTTTTGAGAGCCAAATTTTTTTAAATTTAAACTTCTTCTAATGCCACTTCTTCAAAATAGACTCACCCAGACCGTGGTATTTTGTGGAAGAGCCACACTCAAGGGGCCAAAGAGCCGCATGTGGCTGCCCACCAGGGCTCTAGGGAAAAGCCTTTTTATGCTAAGTGACCTACGAGTCCCATGAAATCAGGCTGTCTACAAGTGGCATCTTCCAGTGAACCACCTGGTAGGTCAAATAATGAAAATTCTTTGGGAATGAGGCTTTGAAATAGCTCAGGCCCATTCTATTCCCTCTCTCTCTTCTTAAGGTTTTTTTTTTTTTTTTTTTTTTTTTTTTTAAGGCTGCTGCAGAGGGGGGAGCCCGGGATGGGAATAAGGCAAGTTGAAACATTATGGACATTACAATGTTGCTATTCTTGCTGAGAGTCAGCATTTTCTCTTGAATAAATCCCGTGTTGTCCTAGCTGGTTTGGCTCAGTGGATAGTGCACAGGCCTGCGGACTGAAGGGTCCCAGAGTTCCGAAAAAGTTACTTCTGACAATTTTCCTGTTGCTTTTATGAAAGAGAGAATTTTGAGAAGTCCTTATACCACCGGTTTTGCTGGTTACAATTCATGTATTTTAATGCTGTCTTTTGTATGTATATGTTTTGTTCTCAAGCGGGTGCGTATTAAATAAAAATGTGTGTGAATTGGGGTTGCAGGAGGCCGCGGGGAGCAGGCACCGAGTGAAGGGCTGTGGATTAAACTGGGACGATGGCAGCCTCTGAGAGAAGGCTATCAGTTCTGTTGAGGGTCAGGAACTCTGCCCTACCATCCCTGCTGCTCTGTGTCTCCCAGTGTTAGAGTTCCCGAACAATCAAACAATGCAGGAGGAGGGTTTGGAGAGCCTTACTTTATTCACCGCACGCCATGGGCTTAGAGAAAATGAATTCAAATTCTAAGCAAGGCTACAAGCAGAACTTCCCTTTTTATCAAAGAGCCAGCCCTATGTGCATTAAGTGGTTATCTCGATGCTGGCCTTGAAAACAATACAGTTCTATCCAATTAAAAAGTGCACCTGGCATGGCATTGAGATTATGGCATATTTAGTCTCTGGCCGACAAGGTCAGACAGCTAAGTTTTTCTTCATCATTACTCCAATAGGCTAAAGCAGACTAGAAAGCAACATTTTATTTTTATTTATTTATTTTTTTTATTGATTTTATACAGAGAGGAAGAGAGAGAGATAGAGAGTTAGAAACATCGATGAGAGAGAGTCATCGATCAGCTGCCTCTTGCACACCCCCTACTGGGGATATGCCCGCAACCAAGGTACATGCCCTGGACCGGAATCGAACCCGGGACCCTTCAGTCCCCAAGCCAACGCTCTATCCATTGAGCCAAACCGGTCTCGGCTAGAAAGCAACATCTAAGAGCAGAAAATTCCAAACAACAGTTTGTTACAAAATAGAGGTTTTCCTTCTCACCAGGTGCGGGCTGCCAGGGGCTCAGCTGTGCTCAGATGGACGGGACGGAGACCCGGCAGCGGAGGCCGGAGGAGCCGGGGCTGCCACCCAGCCTCAGCACAGGGAGACTCCACGCAGCCTCCGAAGATGGCCCTCTGGTCGTCCCTGAGAGCCAAAGGGTGACCTCGAAACTGCTGGGGACTGAACTCAGCAAGGAGACGGCCTTGTCCATTGGCTTTGAGGTGACCGTGCCCTTCATGTTTGCAGGCCTGGGACTGTCTGGGGCTGGCATACTTCTGAACTATTTCCAGGTAAGTGGGAACTAAGTGGGGATGATGGTGTTGGGGGGCACTGCCTAATGTCACCCTAAAGGGTAGGCAGTTACATGTTTAGCCCAGCTTGAGGAACATTGGGTAGGGCCTCCTCTTCTCAAATACAACTTTCCTATAAATTGGTAAAGGTTCTTTTCGTTATTGGTGACGGAGACTAAACGTAACCCAGGTTAAGCAGGCTGTGGGCCAGGAAGGAGAGGTGAACTATATGGGTTCCCCTTGGTGGCCAGTAACTTCAGTTTAGAGACCTGTGGGACTGAGGGAACAAGGAGTGTGTACCCCCAAGGAGCATCAATCCACATTAATCAATGCCAGACTTATTGATGGCCACCCTGTAACTTAACTATGTGGATAAAACAGGGGTTCCATGGAAAGTAATTTCATAGGATGATCTGATCATAAACTTCTAACTGGGCAGGTCAAGGTGAGTAGTGTTGCCCCAGGCCTATAACTTTTAGTAAAAGGTTTATCTTTGCCTTAAGTAAGCCCTGCCCATTGTTTCTGTGCATCTAGATCAACACACCTTTGAAATAACAGAAGTAACTACCCCTCGGAGAGGGTATTAACCCCCATGAGAGTACATCATTTTAATGATCCTACAATCCAATCCCTGCTCTGCTCTCTCCAGTCTTCCTTATGTCCCTCCTTAATTTCAAATGCATGAAAGAATCTACAAAACTGTTACTTTTGGGAGCATTTGAGATCTTGCTCCCCAGCACATGTCCTCATTTTGGCCAAAATGAGGGTTTGGATATTTCTTGTCAACACTGCGCACTCAGTGGATCTCAAGGTGGGGGGGTTGTGGGTGTCCCCACATAGCCAAGGAGCTTGGGGGAGGGGTGACCCCTCTGGCACTGTGGCATCTGGCAAGGGACTGAGGATAGGGGAAGCCACTCTCTCCTGCAGGTAGGATATGCCAGAGGGCTCAGGTGTGGCTCTTTCCTGTATTGAGGCGGCCTGGGTAGCTGTGCCTCCCAGGGCTCAAAGAGCATCTGGGTACGGAGGGGCCAGGGCCAGGGACTATGAGAGCCTCTCTTTCCGGGGGTTCACGGTGTGCATCCAGCAGGCAGTGCTCTGTTGACATGTAGTGCAGGCAGGAGGGCAGTTTCTTGGATCAGAACCCCGTGAGTGACTTATTGTAGGTGGTCCAGAGACTCCAGGAAACATAGGTGGAGCCTCTGTCTGCCGTGAAAGAGTCCCTGAGGGCACTGATGGAAGTGCCTGCTGGTTTTAATTCGGACAGATTCTAGCGCCTCTTGTTGGAGGTGCTCCTTCACTGCAGGCTGCTCTGAAGTGACAGCATCGGTGGGCATCGGTGAAGTGTGTAGATGCGGACTGCGTTGCCTCCAGAATCCAAAAAGGACTGAAAGATGTCGGGCATTGTGGATGCCGAGAGGTTTTATGACAGTGTGGAGGATCGAATTGCCCTCAATGTACCAAATAATTTAAAAAAATATATTCTATTTTTTTTTTTTTCAGAGAGGAAGGGAGAGAGATAGAAAATTAGAGACATCGATGATGAGAGAGAAACATCGATCAGCTGCCTCCTGCACTCCCCCCCCCACTGAGGATGTGCCTGCAACCAAGGTACATGCCCTTGCCTGGAATTGAACCTGGGACCTTCCAGTCCACAGGCTGATGCTCTATCTATTGAGCCAAACCGGTTTCAGCTGTACCAAATAATTTTTAGGAATTTGACCAACGTGACAAATTGCCCCACAGGTGGGACCATAGCCCATCCTTTTCTTTTGAGCTCCTGTGTGAGTATTTGGGTGATTTTAATGGGCGTGTTCACGTGAGTCTTCTTGGAGATGGGTGGCCACAGGGTATTGTCGGACCTATGCTAAGGAGAAAGGTGCACGCAGTTAAGATCTTGCCTGCAAAGTCTGTGATGGCAGAGCTGGTGAGCTGGCCCACGGGAAGCCTGGAAAAGACCCTTCGTGTCCTGTTGGAGCTGAAGATCAACGGTGGCTGAGAGGCTGTTGAAATAGGCTCTGAACAGAACAGGTTAGCCAGGTCTGTAGTAGCAAAATATTTACTGGTTGCTGACTGGATGGAATCAGTAATTTCCATAGCATTGGATTGTGGGTCTCACTGGATGGAACCACGGCATTATGGTTGTGGTCATCCACGCCAAAGCACCTTATATTCTTTCCAAGTTTAAGAACAGGCCAAACTGGACTTTTAAAAGGAGAAGCACTGTAAAAGGTGGTAATCAGACCCTCACTCAGTAGGTCTTATATGAAAAGTATCAGTCCTTGAAGGCCTTGTGTTAGCTTACATTGGGCTGTATTAACTTTTTTTTTTTTTAATTTTAAATACATTTTATTGATTTTTTACAGAGAGGAATTGAGAGGGATAGAGAGTTGGTCAGTCGCAGCACTCACAGCCTGGGGGAGAAGGACACTGCCTACCACTCAGGGCCACACAGGCTGTGCTTGGGAGCAGAGCAAATTGCCAGAGGCTGTGGGAGGCAGGCTGTGTAGGAACAATGGAGTGAAGTGCCCACTGGTTCTGGGGGAGGGTGAGATTAGCTTGTTTGAATAATCTCATGGGCTGGCAGGAACTAAAACCCACTTCGGGGATAATCGGGAACTGTGCCTGGTCCCCCTGATAAGAAGCATTGCTTAGCTAGGGGACCTTATCTGCTGGAGCAGAGAGGGGAGGGGAAGTTGCAATGAGGCCATGGTTTCGCCAAATGTCAAGGCAGCAAATCATAATTTTAGGCTTGACACCACTCAACCGTATGAAAGGCTGTCTGGGTTTCTTTTTCTCTTTGTTTCTATGATTCTGTTTATTTGTTTATTCATTAACTAGAGGCCGTGGTGCACAAAATTCACGCGCGGGTATGATTCCTAGGCCTGGCCTGTGATCAGGGCCATCTTTCCCAGCTGCCCACAGCCAGCCTGCTTCCCACCGCCACCCCCTCCTCGTTCCCCATTCATGGGTGATTGGAGCCTGATGGTGGGGAGGGGGCGGGGGAGGCTGTTCCTGCCCGCTCGCCGGCCCCACCCCCGCTGTAGGTCGCCCTCTGTGTGTGGGGCAACTGTCAGGGCAGGGGCATTGGCCTGACACCACTGGCATCCCCCGCCACCCACCCCCAGTTGCCTGTTCACCATCAGTCGATGGGAGCCTGTCAGCCTGGGAAAGGGACCGAGAGGTGGTCAGTGCGCTTCGTGGTGACTGATTGAGCCGTCTTTCTGCTCATTCTGCCATTAGGGTCAATTTGCATATTACCCTTTTATTATATAAGATCATTCATTCACTCATTCGTGCAACATGAGTATGTGTGCCATGGGCCAGCACTATGCTGGACAACACCAGGGTGGACACAACAGCCAGGCCCTGCTCTCACAGCTGTCAAAACCAAGTGGGGAGCCCTAGCTGGTTTGCACAGTGGTTAGAGCATCAGCTTGCGGGCCAAAGGGCTCCAGGTTCGATTCTGGATAAGGGCACATACCTTGGTTGCAGGTTCCTCCCCAGCCCAGGCCCTGGTCAGGGCATGTGAACAATCGATGACAGACAGTAGATGCATAAGTCAATGTCAGGTGGCAGTAAGGGCTACGATGAAAACAGACCTGGGTGGTAGGCTTCAGGGGAGTCCGAGAAGGCCTTTCTGAGGAGGAGATGCTGGAGTGAGGCCTGAGTGACCTGAAGGAGCTGCTTAGAGAAACTTCATGAGAGTAAGCTGGACAGGGCGGGGAGTGAGCGACTCAGCCCATTTTTACTTGTGGGTAGGTCTGCCTAGCCAAAGAAGCAGAAAATAAAGAACATTTCCTGTTATTGAAAAAGTAATTGGCTTGATTTCTGAGGACCTGACAGGGTGGGAAAGAATTCAGGCCTTTAAGAATAACCGTTTGGCTCAGAATCAGCCAAGGCTCAAGGTGACCCAGGAAAGGAACAGGAGGCCGTTGGGAAGGTGTACACCTGGGAATATGACCATTTCTCACTGAAGAATAAGAAGTGAAAGCTAGGAATGGCAATATGCAATATGCATTCCAGAGTCCTCTGCCACCCTCGGCACCTCCTAACTATGCTGCAGTGGCACACACCCTAAAAATCAAGGGGTGTTGGCATAAAAATCAAGGTGTGGTTCTGATGCCATAGGCCTGGGGATCTGATTCATTGGTCTACCCTGAGGTGGGGCTGCACGTTTTAGGAGCTCCCAGGTAGTTCTTATGGCATTGTGGACTGAAAACCGCTGATGTAGTCCCGCCTCATGCTGGGAGCTGTGCATGGTTAGGGGCCACAAGGGCAGGGACTTGTTATAGGTCACCCAGAAATCCACCTGATGCTTGACCCAGATTCCACCGCTACCTGGTACAGCCCTGGGATCCAGTTTAAGCTCCTTGGAGATTTTCCACTGTGCTACTGAACTATTTTTAAAATCACATTCTTGATTTATTTATTTATTTTTGGATTATGACCCAATAAACTGTGTTGACACATTTTGTTCTCAAGTTTCAAGGAAAGTAGTTTATCTCACATAATGAAACCTTTTATTTATTTTTGGTGACAGTTGATGGTTATGAAAGCAAAAAATCACAATAGAATATGTAACAAATTATAAAATAAAGGTCACTTATAATTATGCCACTCAAATATAACCACATTGGGCACCTGGATATATATCTTTCTAAACTTTTTTTTTTTAAATAATATATATTTTATTGATTTTTTTACAAAGAGGAAGGGAGAGGGATAGAGAGCTAGAAACATCAATGAGAGAGAAACATCGACCAGCTGTCTCCTACAGGATGTGCCCGCAACCAATGTACATGCCCTTGACCGGAATCGAACCTGGGATCTTTCAGTCCGCAGAGCGATGCTCTATCCACTGAGCCAGACTGGTTTTGGCCTTTCTGAATTTTTTACTGTTTGTATGTCTGTGTGAGTGTGTTTATCTTTATTTCTCAGTTGATTTTTTTTTTTAAACTGAGAAACATTTTTGTAATGATTAATAACTTGCTTAATCAGGA